AAAGCTGCACCTCCTATAAGAGATTTTTTCCAGTTATTTCGTATAGTTCGGAAAAAATTTAATATTTTAGCCATTTCTTAATTTTCTATTTTTAATAATATAACCTTTCTAAATCTATAGCTGATATATTTTACATATTTATTTAATATTTTAATTTAATGTTTTTAATTTAATAATGTTTTAAATTTTTGAAAACATACATCTATTATAAGAAGTTAATGTACATGAAATTTTTATTCTTTGCATTATAATGTTTTTATCTGAAAGGTAAATATTTATTTATTTAATAATTTCAATAAAAATTTATCAAAAACTATATATAATAAAAATATTTTATATTATTCATTTTTTAAAAAATTGTTTAAATTTTATGAAAATTTAATCTTTCTTTAATTATTTTTTTCAATTCCTTCTTTATATGAATAAATTATATGAAACAAATTGACTGAAAGATTATTTTCATACTCACATGTTTTGAACTGTTTATAAGATTCCATTTAAATTACAATACACAAATATTAGAAAATATTTTTTGTTTAATTAGAATATTATATTATATAATTTTAAATAATAAATTCACTTATGATATTAATAAATATTATTTTATATAATAATTAAATTTTATATTTTTTATTATAAATATGAAAAAAAGGTATAAAAAATGTTATGTAATAATTGCTCCATTTAGATTTTTCAACATATAAATACGATTTTATTTCTAAATTTGTCAAATATTATCACATTAATCACTTTTTCATGATTAAAATTAATTGTTCATAGAACAGTTTTTTATGTGGTATTATCTTTCTCTATGCATCATTATTATAAAACAAAAAGATTTCAAAAAAAGATCGATAAAACTATTATGAATTCTTTCTTTTTGTCAATTACTTAAACAGAAGACAGTAGAAAAGAAGTTACGCCAATTGCATATTTGTAGTATAACATAAAGCAAAATAGAAAAAATTCTTAAGCTTATTTTCCAGTTTCACTATATTATCACCCATGCTATATACAGTCCTGAACAAAGTTCGATTCTCATTTGTCGTTTTACAAATGGGCAATAATTTTCCAACAGCAGCCATTTTGTGTCTTAAGACATCATCCGAACTGAAAGTGTTAAGGTGGACAGCATTGCTGTGAGCTAACAATAAGACACTTTCATAAGTATCAGCCATTTTATCAGTTAATTTCATTTACAAAGGAATTAACGGACAATAAATTTATGTAACACGTAAATGTGCGAATTTTTTATTCGTATATTTAAGTATACGTAAAAATAATGTTTTTACGGATGACAGGTCAGTGTAATAATTATTTTGATTCTGTCACTTGTCGATGGTTATGTATAGTTACTGTATTTTGTAAAACGTATTAAATTCATAAGATTATATATTCATTATTTTATAAATGTTGTATTTTCTGTATTTTTAAATTGTATTAAAAAAATAATATTTTATAAAATTTATGTAATAATAAATAATTAATTAAGCATTTCAAAATGAAAATTACAGTAATTGAATTATATTTTTAGTTTTATATTTTCTAATTTTATGTTCGTATTTTGTAATATTGCATTTATATGTAATATTAAAAATTAATAGAATAATTTATAAAATATATGAAATATAGGATATATGTATATATTTAAATAATTTAATAACTTATTTGTATTTAAATCATCTTCTTTTCTTCTTAATATCATTTTTTTTTATTTAGAAATTGATTTTTTTTTAAATTTAAGTGTCATATACAATAATTATATAATGCAAATAATTAAAAATATAGAATGAAGTTCTTCTATATTTATTGTAGATTTTTTTAAAATCAATATTAAAATAATTTCCAAGTATACATGCATTTTTTTCTTTCTTGAATATTTTTAACCTTAATTTTCAAAATGATAATTTATTTTAAAGATATTGAAAATCTTAATACAATAAAGTTTATTGAATATTTTGAAAAAATAAAAGAATCATTAATAAATGTTAATAATCATTCAATAATTGTAATTATATATTTAATAATTACATTTAACTTAATTATATAATTTAATTAATAATTAGTTTATATAATTTTGTTTGATTACCTTTACATTATATTAAGTAAATATTTATAAATTTATTTTGTATATTTTATATATATTT